CACAAATAAAAGAGACCAACTATTTTTCCCAAAAAAAATTGAAATCACAACAAACAAATCACAATAGGAATATTCACACAAGAATCAACCTATGGCTACAATCAACGGCCCACTATAGCAGTAAACTAAATCACATGAATCACATTTATCACACAATCAAGATTTCTATAACTGCAATTAGCAATGACTAAACCACACCGGGTTTCAAAATTCACTTAAAGGCACAAATATCAAATAAGAATATAAGGTTTAGGCTTTTACCGGAAGGTTTTTCAATTTTATGAAAAGCTTTGTGTGAAATTCCGATTAGTTCACCATCCAATTCAATTCTTGGAGTCCTATCTAATGTGTGCACAATAAAACCACAAATGTTAGTTAAAAAAAAAAAAAAAAACCAAGTCTTATAAAACAAAAAAACCTTTATGTAAAAAATATGTTTCTCAAAGAAAACTACTACATTGCTTATTTTAAAAAAGAAAATTGGATCAGATCCTTTTTTTACTTTCTATTATTATAAAAAAGAATCTGCTTCAGAGATATCTTAAAAAATAATATGTTCCCAAAACTAAGAGATACGAATAGAGAAGAACTTTAATCTAAGCCTTGAACACCCAATTCTTTTAAAAACATATTATAAAAATAAATTGGAACTGAAAAATCAGATTTAAATTTGAGCCTGGAAACATATTATAAAAATAAATTGGAACTATAAAATCATATTTAAATTGAGCCTGAACACAGAACCAAAACCAAAGAACACACTAAGGGTGTGTTTGTTTGGGGGTTTGAATTTTGAGTTGGGATTTGAATAGTAAAAATTTTGAATTTGAATAGTTGTATGATGTGATATAAATAGGTGATGATGTGATGTTTTGAATGTAAAATTGATTTTTAGTATAATATAAAAAATGAAAAATAGGTGTTTGATTTGATGTTTTTGGGGGGGAAATTTTGGATGAATAGTGAAATTTAATCCAAATCCATCAAACGAACACACCCTAAATAGAAAACTCATTTTTGATTCAAAACCAAATGCTCTTATACCACTTTTATGTTTAGGATTGAAAAACTAAACCGAGAACTATATTAAAGAAACTAAATAACGATTTTATTTATTGTAAAATAAAAACACATAACAGTAAACAAGAAACTAACAAATACAGATTTGTGGCTTAGATTTTAGGGATCAACTCTTATAGAAGAAGAGAGATCAAAAATAGCAACAAGCAAACGATGACGGCCAACAACACCCGCTGGCAACCTAGTCTACTACCCCAAGAAGAAACCTCAACACTCTATATGGGAATCACTCAATTTTAGAGAAATCGAACCGTAGGAACCTTACCAAAACCTTCCTAGATCACACAGTAGAAATGATCTCTCAAATTCACAGGGGAAATCTCCAGAAAAATCTCATCGTCGAACGCACAGCAACTTGGCGAATGAAGGAACACAAGAGAGAATTCTGGTAGTGTGAGAAAAACACAGGTGGCACACACCCTATCTGTCTGATTTAGGAGAGGCATATATATATATATATAGATGGAATGTCACAATTTAGACTGAGGGAGACACAGGTCACCATGGCGGGTCGGGCCATCCATCAAAACCGGTTCGGAAACGGATATGGGCTGGACTCATCGAAAATAATCCAACACATTTCAAAATTGAAGTGGTGTATCAAGAAACAATTTAAGATTGCCAAGAGAGATTGGATGTGACATAGCCAGAATCGTCCACTGAGTCCATAAGGTAAATATTTAAAAGATTTCAATATCCCATTCAAGTTCAAGTGGTGTAGAAAGAAATAATTTGAATTAGCCAAGAGAGATTGGATGTGAAAAGGCTAGAATCGTCCATTGAGTCATAATTGGAAATATGGTTCTCAATGCGGTTAAAATTAGAAGAAGCGCTCTCAACTCTATAGTCAAAGTATGAAACCGGCAACTTAATGCAGTTAGAGTCGGAAGCAAGGCGGAATCAAAACAGACAATTGAATGTTGTATATAAGGCTTTATTAAAATCATAAACAAATTTGACAGGAAATATGCAGCGGTAATAATTTCAAATTGAGGAAGCCTCCAATTTATTCTGGGTTAAGTATACCAGAGAAAAGGTTACTCTTTATATTTTGCAAAATTTAAAAATTTCACAGTAATAATAATAATAAATGAAAGCCTATAATCTAATATATGATAATAAAAATCTAATTTAAACCATAAAACAAATATTTCAATATTTATGTTGATACAACTAATATTTCTACTTGAAAGTATCCAAAATAGAAGTGTATACAACTTTTCCATAACTTTTAATTTGCTTGATATGTATTTGTTTACGCTGGAACTATGTATTTATAATTAAAAGTATTTGATTTTTCGTTAGGAGCAACATTTTGTGAACTTTGATATGGCTTGATATTTATTTTGATTGCAACTTAAAATTGTAAAAAATCATTATGTTGCAACAACTTTTGTGAAGTTTTGAACACTATCAATGTTTATGTTGATACAAATATTAAATTATTCAAAAGTGTTCAAAATTGAAGTATGGACAACTTTTGCACAACATTTAAATTATGTGATATTTATTTATTTATTTGTATCTTTTTCGGAAATTCACTCTTTTAAATATCAATGTGTTGTAAATTTTGTAAATATTGAAATTTTTTTTTTTAATATATGTTAGCAAAATCCTAGTTTAAATTTTACACAGAGCGTATCTATAAGAAATCGTATTTTGTTACTGTAGATAAAAATTGCGTTATTTTTAATAAACATAAAAATTTGTACAAATTATATTTAATTTGGATTTAAAGCGAGTCTTATTCTCTAAATTGGTCATTTGATTTTCTTTCCGGGTCGATTCATTTTCCAACTTGGTTTTGAATAGCTTCTTTGATACAAAGAGATTTGATCTTCGGTTTTGCTTTGCTGGACGTGGAGGGATTAGGTCTCCGTGCGGGCGATTTGATCGTCGACTTTGAATTTGATGTCCTTTTGGTCGATCCGAAGGAATTTGGTCTTCAGTTTGACTTTGTCGGACTTTGGAGGGCTTTGGTCTCCGTGCGAGCAATTTGATCATCGACTTTGGATTTGATCCGATGTTTTGATCTTTTATTTGACTTTGCCAGATTTTTTAGGGCTTTGGTATCCGTGCGGACAAATTGATCATCGGCTTTGGATTTGATGTCTTCTTTGTACGATCCAAGGCTTTGATCTTTTATTTGACTTTGCCGGATTTTGGAGGGCTTTGGTCTCCGAGTGGGCTATTTGATCGTCGGCTTTGAATTTGATGTCTTCTTTGAACGATCCGAGGTTTTGATCTTAGGTTTAGTCTTGCCAGGTTTTGGGGGCCTTTGATCTCTGAGTTGGCGATTTGATCGTCGGCTTTGGATTTGAAGCCTTCGTTGGACGATCCGAGGCTTTGATCTTTGGTTTGGCTTTGTTGACTTTTGGAGGACTTTGGTCTCCGTGCGTGCAGTTTGATCGTCGGCTTTGGATTTGATATCTTTTTTGATCGATCCGAGGCTTTGATCTTTGAGGAGGTGAATTTGATATTCGATAACGCTTTTGCCAGCGTATCCCTTTGACGTTTGGATCGAAGAGGGACAGGTTGATGCTTTTAATAAAGAACGCGATGAACGCCTTTAAGCTTTGAGATGGATAGTGGAGGCTCTTCCTTGGCTTTGATGAATTCTTCAACGGCTTTGAAACCTTTGATCCTTCCTCTAGTTCGGGCATACGACGAAGAAAGCTAACTTCATCAATTTGTCAACCAATATTGGATCGTTTATCCAAATCGGTGACTTTTCGACGAAGAACGCTTTTAAGGACACGAAAAAATGAAAAACATTACAAAGAGAATAAAAAAACTTACCATTTACATGAATCATCGATATATAATTTAGATATTTCATAGGAATTGGCCCATCAAACATAAATGTATTTTCTTTAAATTACTGACGTATATTTGAAATCCAAAATAAGTATTTGGAAAATAAGGCAAAATTATAGATAATTCATTTGTGGTTTGAAAAGTCTGCATCATTTTTAATGTGATTTAGCAACTACATGACGCACTATTATATTTTAGAAAATATTGCATAAAATTTCTTAAAAATTGTACGAAACTCTTTTGTGTTTTGAAAAATATTATACAAAAACTCCTAAAAATGAAAGTTTGTGCAATATATATATATATATATATTTTTAACACGAGAGAGTTTCAAGCAATTTCTAAATTATAAGGCAGAATAGTACAAACTTTTTAAAATTTCGGTAGATTATGAATAATTTTGACGAAAAATAATATACGGGTATAATTCGACGTTTTATGTTGATAAAATTATATATAATTAAAAAATCAAACTCCGAAGAAATTATAATAATCCAAGGAAATGCAAGTTTCTGCATAACTTATAATTACTTGGAATATATATGCTTCCAATTTTTGGATACAAAATATGCATTGTTGAGTATTCTTATTTTTATTTATTTCGTTGAAATAAAAAATAATTGCTAAATGTAAAAAAACTAATGTGTGATGTGATGTGTTTCGCAGAGTTAATAAATAAAGTGGATAATTAAGAAAATTAAAAATGAAAATAAAAAATAATACACTTTGATTTGTAATTTTGTAACCCTGTGTAGTATTTATAATAGCAAATTCAAATAATAAGTTTTGAATATGGTATTTAAAATTTAATGTAAATATCTAGTATTATGTATGAAATATGTGCAATTTTGATTTTGATTTTACTATTTTAATATTTTTTTTAAAAAAAAATCAAATCAAACACTTAATTTTATTATTTATCTGATGTCACTTCGAACAAATATTTTAATTCAAAACAAAAATTCAAAATCAAAATATCACAGTATAATTAAACATATCCAAAGACATGTTATGCCTGTAATTAATTATTGAGTATTATTAATTCCATCATAAGAAGTTCATTACAGACAATGGTAAAAATCAAACACAGGTAAAATCTCAACAATCATTCATCACTTCCACTGCCAGCCACGCACGCACGCTGCAAACGCCTAGTTATTTCCACCAGAAAATCCACCAACGCCGCCACCGGAGGAACCGGCGCCGCCAGCCTCAGAAAGCCCTCCGAAACCACTGGAGGAACCATCGCCAAAAAGCCTCCCAATCTCGAGACCAGAACCGGAGGACACAAAGTCGTCGACGTCGGTGCCGGAGAATCCTCCAAAACTAGAAGAACTACCGCCAGCAGCAGCGCCGTCACCTGCAAAGCTAGAAGAAGAACCGCCCATGGAAGCAGGACCGGAAAATCCTCTGAAACTAGGAGAAGAACGACCAACAGCAGCCGCACCACTAGAAAAACCTGCAAAACCAGAAGAGGAACCGCCAGCAGCAGAAAATCCTCCAGATCCAGAAGCAGAGCCGCCGCCAGCCGCAAAGGCATAACCCATGAAGCCACCAATCCCAAGAGAACCGTCACCGCTGCCTTTAGGGACATTGGAAAACCATTTATCAGCCCCCACTGCAGCAATCCCCCGCATCAGGCCTTGATCTTCAGCCACCGTCGCCGCCGCCGCTCCAAGAGGAGCTGCCCCAACCAGCTGGTCCAATAAAATCTCTCCATCGCCCTCCGCCGGGCCAGCCCCCTGCGCCGGCAACCCGACTTCTGCTCCCCTCGCGCTCAGCTTCTTGAGCATCTCCGCCGCCATAACCTTCACCATTTGCAGCTCCGTCGTCTCCATCATGTCCAACGGCTTCTTCGCCAGCAATTGATTTCCCTCCTTCACTGCCATCGCCTTCTGCATCTTAGCCAAGCTCTCCCTCTCACTATTCACATTCTGTTCAATATAGCTTTCATGAGTTACCATTTTTTTGTTCCTTTCAATCACCGGAAACTCCATGAATTTGTTCACCCGGTCTTCCACCGCCTCCGGCGACGGCCAAAGAATGGCATTGTTTTCGCCGTCCTGCTGGTGGCCGATGATGGCGATCTCGGCACCGCAAAGAATCTGCAATTGCTCAGCCTTCTTCACCAGCCCTTCAGTTCTATTGGCAAAGATAGAGTTTCGCCTATTTTCATTAGCGAGTTGCTCATGTCTAATCCTCTTTCTAGTCATTTTGCTTGCTTGCTTGCATGTGATGTTTTTTCAAAGAAAAAAATATGCCTGTATTTATATTAGAAGATTGGGCCTTTTAAGGAAAATTGTAATAAACTTGAGCTTATCACATTTGGTTAAAAAAATTGGTGTAATTATTATTTTTTAAATGATTTGGGTAAATAAATGGTTAGTGGTTGATTTATTATGATAATTACAGGTAATGTTAATTAATGCATACGTATAATTCTTTTAATTCTTTTAGATTTTGTTATTTGTTATAATTATTACTATTATTTTTTTATCGGATTGTTGTAATTATTATTATTATTATTACTATTATTATTATTATTATTTTTTATGAAAGGATTGTTTTAATTTTTTTTTTATATTATTATTATTGTATTGGTGGTTGGTGGGTTGAGGATTAAAATACAATATTGTGTGTATAATTTTTTAGGGTTTTGGTGCATATTGTAAGTACATTTTGAGGTTGCATATGTAAAATATAAAAATTGTAGTGGAATTATTTGTAAAATTTTAAAGAAGTAATCTCATTTTTTTTTAATATAATTATGCAAAAATCTATATATGTATATATATATTTCCGTAGCAACATCTTACTTTTGCAGCAAATAAACTTTGTTAATGTATGGAATCTATTGATTTCTATTTAATATAAAAAGTGTTGTTTTGTCGTTAAGTACGTAAATGTACTAATATATTGACATAGTTAATGTAAGAGATCTAATTAATAGTATTTAATAGAGATGGAGTGTAGTATGTCACATATTTTGTCGTTAAGTACCTAAATGTACTAATATATGGGATCAAGTGTGATAGTTAGAAATCGCATGCGTTTTATATTCATATCATATGCGATAATTGGGTGATTTTGATTGGATTCTACCTAATTTATATGCGAATTGTTTATTTGCTGTGTGCAGAGGGCAAATATTAAATTTGGCATAATTGACAAAAAAAAATAAAATAAAATAAAATTAATTAAAGACCCAAAAGCCCATCTACAAAATAATTAGGGCAAACATTAAATAAAATGAAGGATCACACGTTTCAAAAGTGGGGAGGACGGCTAGGGCAGAAACGCACAGGAGAAGGAGACTGACAGATTCCTAGATCGCGCAGGAGCAAATCGACAGAGAAGATTTCCCCCTCCCACTATGACTTCATCTTTCTCTTTTGTTCTTTGTTATTTAATTATGGAGTAGATACTTTTCTGGTTTGAGGGGTGATAATGTTTTGGCTCTTTTGTTTTGGTGGAGATTCTTGATTTTCTTTATAAAAGTTCTTTTTGATTATCAATATTCGTCTAATTCTGATAATAGCGTTTGTGATTGTTAGATTGATTGAATATTTTGGTACCGATATTTAAATTAGTCTGATAATCTAAAGTCAATTCAAGTAGGATATCCGTAATTGTATTCGCACTTGAATAGGTGACAACCGGGTTGAATAGTTCCTTCCTGGGGTTAGACAATCAAATCTAATTGCTCCTCTTAGGTAGTAATTATTTTGAATTGGGTTTTTCTAGATTGGAATGCGGTTAGGCAATATTTTTATGGGCACACCTAGGTTTATTTGCTTAATTAGGGGTAGTTAACGGTCGTACCTTAATTACCTACACCGTAAGAAAAAATTGGTTGTCAGAGCTTGTTGATAATTATAACCAATTTATTGATACTTTAATAAGAATTAATTTAATTGAATTAATGATAGAACACAAGTGCCATAACTGCATCATCCCTTGAGCCAGACATCCCCTTGATAGTCAGTTCCCCTTTAATTTAATTGCTTTGTTATTTTATTTTAATTAGATAATAAAAGAAAATTTCCCCTTTATTTACTGCATTAGAACACGAAAGAGTGAATCACACAATTCCGAGACGATCCCTTCCCCTATATTACATTAAACTGTGATCACGGAGTAGGTGAAATATTTGATTGACCGCGCGACAGGTCAAAGTGTTCTATGTAGTAATACATTTACTTACAAAAATATAAATTTCTTTACCGAATAAAATTCAATGTTTCATATTTAGTAGATATAAGTGTTTGTTTGTGATATTCAATTACGAAAATTATTATTATTATTATTTTGCAAAATCTAATTACTCGTGTTTAGTAAAAATAAATGTAGCATAACATGAGAGCTAATAATTTGTATTTCATAGTAAAAGTGAATTTTTCGAGGTACAATATAATTTTCGAATATATAATTTGTAAGAATCTATATTTACTAAACCTAAGTATTTGACAATGGTATCATGTATAATTAAAAACATGGAGAATTATCTAAGAAATTTATTATATAACTTTTTATCCGTTGCTAGCTCGCTTATGTTATGTACTTTGTTTATTTTTTAAAAATTTCTTAAACATGTAAAATCTAACAATGTATATTTAATGACGATAGCGTTTAATTGTCTATAGTATGTATAGATATATATTGTATAAGTATATATATATATATATATTATTTAACAATATTAATTGGGAGACACCCTACACATCTTCTTTTATTCCCTGAAATATTAGAAATAATAAAAAATTAACTATTCTTAATAAACATACATTCCTTGTGACACAGACTCCTAATTTAATAATTAAGACAAAAAAAGGATTTAGCCGGTGCATATGGTGAAGATGATCGTTCGGTGAGTTGAGACAGAGAAAGAGAAGGATACCGATACCGTGGTCAACACTGGCGGATGTACTTGGGTGCAAGGGTTCAGCCGGGTTTTAGGTTTATGTTAGATTGTTTGTTAATTATAAATTTATTAATCTATTTTGTCCCTATGTATTTTATTTTTCACTCGTTTACTCATGGGTTTTGTCCTTTTTGCACTGTCGGAGGGACGTGGCGTCAACCCCGAACCGGTGGAATGGTGGCAGCGAGCGGTGGCAATCCCATTATAAGAAGAAAATACAGAAAAAAAAAATAATGATTATAAGAAGTAAACGAACATAGAAAAATAACAATGACAAACATATGCAATTTGATTATAGTAAATTTTGTTTTTTAATATCATTTTTCTTTTATTTGTGAATATATATATATATATATTTTTATAGTTCTTAGTATTCTTTCCAAGGGATTGAGTTTTTTTATTTCTATATATAGTAAATTTTAATAATAAATTTTTTTGATTAATTTTTAAAATTTTAAATTTGATTATAACATGAGTTAACTATAGTATTATATTGTTGCGTATTATTTTTAGTTTCTACTAATCATTTCTAATATTCGTATTGTGGTGCAGAAAAAATAATTGAAATAAAATCAGAAAGAAACAAAGAAATAATACAATATATGTATTTTTAATGATTTATTGTAGTATTTTTTTACTAATTAAGTTTTTCATTTTTATTATATACTTATTTTTGTAAATTGATATGGTTTTTAATATAATATTTTAATAAAATTTTTAATTTTATAGATTATGTTTAAATTTTGAGTTTTTTTTTTATTTGAAAGAATATTTCGAAAATTCATACAAAAAATTATTATGAATTTAAAATTATAAAAATTTTATTTTAAGTATAGTAATTTCATTCTTATTTATATATATATTTTAATTATCTATCTCATTATGTTATTTTTTTTATAAATTATTTTTTTTATTTTTATTGTGTTTGTTAATTTTTAAACTGATTTGATTTGAATAATATATTATATATATAAACTATAAATATTATTTATTAAAAATATTAAATTAAAATTATAAAAATAGATCGTGCACAACATTGGTTACACGTTAGTGTATATATATTTATATGCAATTATATTGAATTAATTTTTTAAAAAACTTGTCAAAATTCTTTATTATTTATAAAATTGTCTCGCTGTAATATTTTAAATACACACCTTTTTTAATGTTATAGATAAATTATCAAATTTAAATGATATTTCATTATTAATTTATGTCCAATCTTTTAAACATGCGATTATGTCGGCAGTCCATAACCAATTTAAATAAGTAACAATTTTCACTTTATACAACAATATATGTTGTGTTATTATAGCCTATTATTTTATATAATTATATGTACTTAAGAATTAATGGTTTTATTATTATTATTACTAGATGGGGAGATTGTACCACTATCTATTCAACAACATCACCCACAGGAAAATGCAAATTATGCTATCATAAATAAGATAATAATATATCAAATTAATTTATCATATAAGATGCAGTTTCAATTAATACTATAAACTTTTGTATATTTATTTTCGCATTGTTAGAATCAATCATATATACATATTAACGGAATTATCCATAGAACTTATCATTAACATATAAATAAGGTTCTTAATATTTTATTTTATTTATTCATTTTTTTGTCATATTGTTATATACAATTTTAGTTAAACTTCAATATTATAATTCTTTCAGTTATATCTGAGTAATGTCAATCCTACAACAACGTCAACTTTAACCGAAAGAAATAGGGTTTTGTGGCCCATTTATGTGGTCGGAAGAAAAAACTCTTCGTAATTATAAAGAATCCTAAGTTTAGTTTGTGTTGCCAAAGTAGAAAAATTTATTTGCCTTTACTATCAAATCCTTTTGAGTATCTAGATGGGTTACTAAAGGATTGTACTTTTATGAAAAATATTATATCATTTATTTTGATCTTTAGTTTCACATCTATGGGTGAAATTTTTTTTACTTGATTGGTTCATTGATTCCCTAAAGAGGAGAGCATAATAAATTTGTTCAAATGTATATTTGTGACACTAAAAATGAAGTGCATCATCTCGGATATTTATCTTAGGAAAAGATAGGTGTACTTTCGAAATTTTTTCTATAGTCGAGCGTTTGAAAGCCATGCTAAATAATGTGAACCTTTATGTCCAAATTTTTTGTTCAGCAAAAGATGCATTAAAGCATCATAGTGGCATGAATTTACATATAAGGATATTGAACCGGAGAAGTAATTGACAATACACACTGCCTTTTACATCTGAGATTGCTGCTTTGATTATTGGTCAAGATAGAACCATTGAATAGAGTCGCGACATCATAGTTTGTAAAACATATGAATGTCTAAAGCATATTAATGAGATGCATCTTTCATATACCCCACTATAATATTCTTTACTTTTTCCACACGGTAGTGATGGATGGAGAGTTAAAATTCTTTACAATATGAAGTTAGGACATATAGAAAAAAAATATTTTAATGAGAGAATTCTGAGTGTTTCATTTTCAGAACATATCAGAGAAAAACACAACTCCTCTACAAGGAGAACGTTTGTTTCAACAATTTGCAGTTGATCGTTATGTTGCCATTGAACAACAACATTTGAATTACATAAAAACATATCAAGTTGCTTGCGTGTAGATTTATTTCAAGGTCTCGTTAACATTGTTATTGTTGGGGACACGGATGCCAATACAGTGGAAATGAAGATAATTCTATCATTTTCATTTAATGAAAGTTCAAAAAATATGTTTCAACATTATCATTATGCGTTGGCAATCTATAGGGCAATTAGACCTCCATATTTTTTTATTACATTCACATGCAACCTGAAATGGGTAGAAATCTCTATAGAATTATCAAAGCTTCCAAATCAACATATAGAAGATTGTCATTATCTACTAGCAAGAGTATTTAGGATGAAACAAAAAAAAAATATTGCGTCTGTTAAAAAATAAAAAGTTCTTTAGACAAGTAATTGTAGGTATACTATAATTTAACTTATAATTTTAAAATCATTCCAATATCTATATAAAAGTTACTTATTAATGTTTATATACAACAAATGTTCGTGCTAATGAGTTTCAAAAACTAGGATTGCCCCACTTGCATATTACGTTAACTCTTCAAGAGGGATTTAAACCAATTACTCTCGAAGAAATTGATAGATATATATATGTTGTTAAATTTCTGATAAGAATGTTGATCCAGTTGCCTATAATATTGTTATAAGACAAATGATTCATGGACCATACGGAGTATATCATCTCAATACTCCATTTAAGGTGGATGGAAAGTGTAGTAAACATAATTCAAAGAAGTTTTACTAACATACTATGATAGATGAAAATGAATACCGTTGTTGCACCTTAATTAAACATTTCAAAAATCAATATTTTTTTGGAATATATGGGTATTGCGAGAATAAACGTGAAATTGAGTCGAGGATGAATCCTCTTTCCGAAAATTAGATACGCCCCGGTAGTCCCTTCGGTGGCTGACGTTCTAACCCAAAGATAAAACGGTTTCCGTCTCTAATGAGAGTGACACCTCTAATTGTTGGAGCTCCGACGAACAAAAAACGAGAAAGGAACTGAGCTGAGGAGGTTGACGGAAAGTTGGGAAAGAGGAGAGAAGAGGAGAGAGTTGTTGGTGTTAGTATTTAAAATGAAGGGGGGAGACCCTTTATATAAGCGTCTTCACTCGGCCAAAATAGCAGAGGATCAATTACGATCATAATTACGACCTTAATTATCGATGTAATTTATTCTAAATTCAAACCTTCCGTTTGAAGCAGTCGTAATTGATTCTAATAACAAACTTTCCGTTTGTGACGATCAGAATTTATTCTAATTTCAAACATTCTGTTTGAAATAATTGTAATTTATTCTAATTTCAACCCTTCTGTTTGAGATTATAATAAATTTATCAAACGGATAATATTTTATCCAAATAATACTGCAACTTAGGCTATATACCCGTGTTTAATTTGGGTTGCACAATTTGGTTTGTCTCGAGACAGACAAAATAGCCAAATATTAACCAAACGTCATACATAATAAATAAATAATATTTATTTATTTATTTCAAATTAATCTAATTAATTTGGTACATCGGCCCGTCGCATTTTCACTTACAAAATAATCGATTAAAAAATAGCCCAATTATCCAACATATTTTACAACCAGGCTTATAAGATTTGAAGTTGTTCTATATTTACTTAGTACAATGTTACTCAAAATTGTCTGTTTTGTTATTAGATACATCTTTTATTGAATTGTTTGCAATTATTTTGTTGCAACTTCTACTGCAACTATAACTTGTCCAAAATCAATGTTTTGTAAAAATTTGTATATATTTTTTTTATATAATTTTTCAACGTTTATATTGATACAACTATTGTTTTTATTTGGGTGTGTTTGGTTGACGGATTTAAAAAAAAAAAAAAATTACTGTTAAATTACTGTATTGAAATACACTATTCAAAATCTACCGTATATGATAGATCTTCAATTAATCAGCTATTATGTCACCATCATACTACCAAAGTACTATTGCAGTGAACAAATTACACACACGTTGAATAGGACTTTTATTCCTCTCTCTTTCTAAACTTCTTGCATGTATAAATTTTTATTTTTTATATTTTTAAAAAGTAATAATAATAATGTTAATAATTATAAAAATAGTTATAAGTGATAGGAAAAAATGAATGATAATATTATTTTATTTTTATATATTTATATTTATTTTTTAAAAAATAATTTTAAATTATATTTAAAATAATTGTATAATGTGATATAAATAGATATTGACGTCGTCAATGACATGATATTTTAAATATAAAATTAATTTTTAGTATATTATTAAAGTAAAAAATATGTATTTGATTTGATATTTTTAGCAAAAAAAATATGAATAATAATTTGAAATTTTTTATAAAAGAACATAATAAATAAAAGAACAAAAAAATAAATTTTTAAAATTTAAATATATTATTTTCTTCAATAAAATATTATTTAAATATCATCTCTTTTAAATTATCACATCAGTATATCATTTTTTTTAATAAAATAATAATTTTATTTTACATAATCATTACAAAATTTAAACTTCCAAACAAACACAACTTTTTAAAAAATTCATAATTCAAAATTCTCCAAAATCCAAATCCAAAATTCAATCCTCTAACCTAACACACCCTTCGTATATTTTGTAAAAATATACAAAATACAAAATATACAAAATACTATATATTTTATTTATTGACTTAAATTTCACTGTGTTAATATTTGCACAAACATCATCATCATGGCACTTATGTTTGATTCTACCTACACACTTGAATTTTTTTTTTTTTCAAAAAAATCAATTAATCAATTATTTATTTATTTATTTTGTTACTAATTTTGTCCGGCTCTAAAGTCTATTTACTTTTCGCTTGTTGAAAAATATAAATGTACAAAAATATAATGACATTTGTAAAAAATATAAAGATATTTTTAATGTTAAATAAATGACGTAAAATATAAATGTGACCCTTAGAGACGAACGGAGAGAATAAAAAAATTATTTAATATATTTTACATTTTCTATTGGTATAAAACCGATGCAATTTAGATATTTATTTAAAACCAAACACCACTTTTGAACTAGGAGCTATTTCATACAAATTTTACATTAAAACAACGAAATTTCAAGCAATAAATAAATATTTTGAGCATTTTTTTTATGACATGGAAATTCCCCGCAAACCTAATATTTTGAGAATTTTGATTAATAATATATAAACCAATTTTCAAAATTTCATTCTAATAATCTAATTCAAAAGAGAATTTTTAGGTTCCGATTTAGATAATAAGATTTTGAAAATGTTTAGAATTTTAAAAATAATTTAAAATTAATATATGCCAAAAAAGTAAATTTAATTAAATTTTTATTCTTAATAAATAAACAATAATTATATTATACAAATTATAATTAAGTAAATAACCGAAAACGACGTCGTTGAAGCAATCGCCGCTGTGTTAAAAAAGCAAATTCATCTCCCTCAAAACCCTAGTTGTTTCTGAACACGAACAGAGAAGCCGCCGACATGAAGAAGAAGAAGCAAAAGCAAACCAACAACGTCTCCACCGCCGCTGCGGCTGATAACGACATTGGTGGTGACCTGGGATCGTCAATCCAGTTACATAGTGATTTTTTCGATCACTTGGTAGAACTAATACCGTCGAGATTCTACCTAACGAACGAGGATGATTCGAAAACATGGTTCGCAGGACTTTCCAAAGCTGCGCAAGGGTACGCCAAGCACGAGACTCGTAAGCATCGTAAGCTCGCCCGCCGCAAGCGCTTCGATCCCGATAATGATCCCTCCACCCTTCACCTCCTCGAGCAACAACAGTCTAGCAAAGCGCCAGACCCCGAGGAGGGCGAGCTCTTCAATCTCGAGGACGATGCCAAGCACGAGGCTAAGGAGAAATCGGTGACTTACGAAGAGCTGAGAGAGAAATTGCATAAAAAAATTGAATTGCTGCGAGCAAATCGCATTGAGAAGACCCCTGGTGGAAGGAGGGCGAGGAGGAAGGATAGGTTTAAGAGGAAAAGGGACAGTGAGAGCGATGGCGGCGGCCAGAGTGAGAAGGAGGAGCGCGGGGACGATGACGGGGAGGAGATTATTGAATATGGGAAGGTGAATTTGGGAGATGAAGATGAAGGGAAGCAACGGAAGAAGAACAAGAAGCGAAAATTGTCCAAGGCCAAGGAGTTGGAAAGAGCAAAGACATTCCAGGAGGTGAAGAAGCAGAATCCATATGTTGCCGAGAGGGCGTCGTGGAAGGCTGCAACAAGCAGGGCGATGGGGGAGAAGGTGCATGATGATCCACGGTTGATTAAGGAGAGCATGAAGAGGGAGAAAAGGAAGAAGATGAAGAATGCTGAAAAGTGGAAGGAGAGGGTGGAGTCGCAGGAGAAGATGAAGGAGGAGAGGCAGCGCAAGAGGAAGGAAAATATTGATGGTAGGATCCATGAGAAAAAGATGAGGAAGATTGCCAAGCGCGAGAAGAAGTTAATGAGGCCTGGTTTCGAGGGTCGGAAGCAAGGGTTCATAACAGACGAGTGAAGGGTTAATATGATATCCAACTATATTGTTTAATCTGTCTTGTTTTTTTAATTGAATACTGCTTGTCTCAGTTGGGTTATTTATCAGGGAATTTTGTTCTAATATGCACCTACAAACTGTGCTTGTTGCTACTTATATGTTGCATTATGATCAAGAAATCAATGGTTTCCTTGCGGCATCACGGCGTTGCAATCCAGCCTGAAGTATCTGGCTGGATTGATTGGTGTTGCAGATTGAGAGTTTATTTAATTATGTTCTGTTTTACAAATTTATAAATATGTACTTATCATTAATTAATGAGAATATGATTTTTTTTTTCATGTTATCTATTTTCGATGCAGCTATAACATTCTGTATTTCGTCTTTGAAAAGAAGTCTAGTTTGTGAGTGCAAGGTTATACTTTAGAACTGCACAGGCTCTTGTAGCAATCTCACATATTGGTGGTGGTGTTTTTCTTGTTTTTTCTGGGCTGATTAAGCACGCAAAAGTTGCCTACTACTAAATATTGGGCAATTGTCTAGCTGAGATGCCTCAGATTCTCGTAATATGTATTTGGTTTTACGTTAGTATTTTATTGCAGAGAGGTTTCCAGAATCTCTGTAGTTTGCAATCTGTGTAAAGTATTGGTGCATCGGATCTGATTCGGGCTTTTGATGATTGTTTTGTCGGTATTACATTTATATATAGGTTTCATTATGAATTTCTGTTATGCAGATGTGCTGACAACAATGCAATAAATCTGATCATGTCATTTTTGTGTATTTGTCTGTTGACTCTGTTGTGCGGAGAAGTTGTTCTTATGTTCGATGCACATCCAGTTCTTGTAGACTTTTATTTGAGATAGTTCACCCTTGGGTAGTATGTCACATAATCTTGTTTCTTCTTTGCAGGGTGGCTTTCACTTATATATCAAAAAGCTCTGCTGCCTCTCTTCTAGGTCCATGGTCTGGCCCTAAGTTTCAATATTATTGAAACTTAGAAATATAGCTATTGTGCTGAATTACTCATTCGTTGGCTGTGTTTTGGAATATTATGTTTTGTTTGTGATGTTATTTATTTTAGGATCAATGTCTGGACCAGCAATGCCAGGGTAACACATCAGAGTTATTTCTCACAGGTAAAACATTGTTTTATTTCATCTAGCTGATGCCATGAAACTAAAATAAACATCTTTACGAGTCTGTTATTGGTTCTCATAGATAAAAGTAAAATGTGTGATTTTTATCAAAATCTTTATACTATTTCTTTGTAGCCCTCTTTTGTACTACTAATTTATCACTAGCCAACTGTATGGCTTTCTTTTCATCCACTGCAATTCAAATGCTAATCTTCTACTTTCAATGATGTGGAGATATATGTTTTGTTTATTAACACTTTTTTTTTTTTTTTATGTTAATTCATCAATTCCTTTCAGAGCATCCCAGCACAATATGTTGATTGATTTTAATTGCCCATAATGTTATTGAGACTTGTAATCGTATTTTACCATCATCCTTGAAAATTAAACATAATTGTGTGATAATTACCATTCATGACAGAGAGCACTTCTACAAACTACCGAATAGATGATTTAAATCCTCGGACCAATCAGCACCAGAATCAGAATCCTATACAAATCAAGTAACTAATTAATGTTTTGAAAATGTTGATCACATTTTTCTTCTCTGTCCTTGGGGTCACACACACACACAACTTTCTTAGATTGTAAGAGATCTCTTGGGTTTAGTCATCCTCGAGTCTTGAACTTTACTCCTACTGAAAATCACCCCCATAACGTTCTAAAAATCTCTAAATTTGGTAGATACTGAGCAAGGCTATATTGTGTGGGATTTGGAAGCTGCGCAATGGTGTTGTTCTTAACAATGAAGAATGTGAAGGCTTGAGTCATTGTCTCTGCTTGTCTATTTGTTGGTGAATGTTACAGAGCTGATTTTCACATTGGCAAAATTCTTCTTGCTTTCTTGACTCTCCCATAGTCTACAGAAAACTGCAAAGCCCAAACCCATGATTGCCTCCGGACCTGTCTTTGTGAAAAATAAACACAGATGGCTCAACTTTAAGGTAAACGAGCACTGATTGGACTAGGAGCAGTCATCAGGGATCATCACGGCTAGTGCCTCTTCATCCTTCACATTTTTATCGGCACTAAAAATTTAAGGTAGAAATTCTACTAGCCATTGTTTACACGCTGGGTTTTGTGGAGCCAGCAGGCACCCTCTCCAAAATAGTGGTTTACTGCTCTTGGATGCAACTTCGTCTTTCTATTTAAGAAGTTCCTTTTCATTTTTAAAGTATCCCTTGTAGTGAAGACAAAACATATCATTTTTCTATGTGTGGTATAGAGGAAGCTAAGATATCTACTTTGTTGTACTTACTACTTCCTTAACAACAACAATAATAATGGCAGTCAAGATATTATATGCTAATTTACTGATGAACATCATGCTACTTGGAGCTTTAGCACAATTTGAGCAGTTTCTACACAGGCCTTTTTCAAGCTGCTCGACTTGCTTCTCATGTTTATCTAACTATACACTAGTGGACTTTCTTTATATAGCATTCCTGTTTTTTTTTTTTTTTTTTTTTGGCACTGTGGGTAATATAACAACTTCCATTAGGAATTGGACATTGTCGAAAACAAGGATAGCTACGAAAACCAAATATGGTAGATTCTTGTGCCACATACTGAACTTGTATTATAATTTCCAACCTTAGTTGATGCCTAGTATGATCCCACGCTACTAGATTAGAGCTTTGGAGCGTAGAATCATTAGAACCACCAAACCTTCTTTGATGTCTAAAGGTTCACAAAAGGAATTCAGAGAGCCCAATTCAGTAACAGGGAAGAGGATACATTGATTAAATTTCTACTGGTTGGAAGAGACATCGTCTGCAAGTCATCCTTAGCTGCAATGCACTGATAAATATGTGGAAGCTCTTGGTTGCAAAGGCCTGCATTACTTTCCAAGGTATGTTTTCTAAATAATCCAGTACACTAAGAGCATATAGCTTTCGAGTGTAGGATCCTTCTAACTACCCAACCATGTTTGAGGCCCAAAGGCTCACAGAAGGAATTCATAGAAGTCCAGTGCAGCAAAGGCATTATGGCAGAGGTTATTCATTGGTTAAATTTCTAAGTTGTATATTGGTTGGAAGAGATGCTGCCAGCAAATCATCCTTAGCTGCAAAATCCACTTGATAAATCCATGTATAAACTCTCGGATGCAAAGCCTGCAAAACTTTCCAAGGTATGTATTCTAAACGATCCAGTTTATATGCAACTTGGATAAATGGGTATTATATGACATCATGTATGTTCGATCCTAGTTGTGATAATTGAGATGAAGAAAATTTGATAGTGTTTTCAACAAGGCAAATAAAAATAAGAAAATTTTGAACTAACTGAAAAGTGAGCTAACTTCTTGAGTGTGGCATGAGATGAAGGGACCAAACTGTAGCCAAGAACAACTTGCCGGACCAATAATAAATATCCTTCCGACGATGTGCATTGTCAAGAGCGCCCTGTTTCCGGCAAGTCATCCTTGGCTGCAACCTACTCCCTTCTCCTTCATGCAAAACCTCAAGAAGGATCAATTGCAAAACCTACATCTGTCTGGACAATGTGCTGAACATATGGTGTGTTTCGACGTATAAATAATGGAGGAAAGGTGTGAGGATGAGAGATGATACGACGGTGAGTATGGCCTGTAAAGATTCTGTCAGGCCAGCTTTCCAAAACCGGCACCACTTTCTAAATCCACCCTTCTGGAACATGCACCTCTCAAAACTTGCCAATTATGGACAACCTAGCTGAATTAATGGTGGGCTGTCCCCCTTTGGATCCCAAGTGCTGTGTAGCTTCATTGGCTAGTGTTAGTAAAATTAATGATTGCTCCTTCTCTTTTGGTGAAAGATATATATTATTAGTTATAGGATTCCCTGAATGCTTATTCATACTGTTGGATTGATGTGGAATAGTGGGCATAGAATAAATTATCTACTTCTGACATGCATAAATATGCAGATCTATAATTGAAAGGAAGCTGGAGTGGAATGGTCATTACATGAAAATGATGGGTAGAGAGAAGGTATTTTTCTGAGATATTTTATAAAATAAAATGGGCTCTCGAGGAGTTGAGAGGCCAAGGATGTTAAAATATGAATCAGTAGCCAGTGAGCTGGGATCTGGCCACACAGTAGGGCTATTATAGTAAATTTGTATTAGGTGGACTAACATTGAACTATTTTTCTCCAAGATGAGCTTTGAGATATGGAAAAAGGAAGTTTAATGTCCTGTTAAGTTTATACAATTGCAGTTATGGATAAATGCATTACAATTTCTTGATGACCAAAGCATTAGTTGGCGATGATTTCTGATAGGCTTGTTGCGATTTGATTTGGTTGCAGCAGCAGCAGGTTTCGTTCTCTAGTTGTCATCCTTGTGTAATGGCGGCAGCTCATTGAAGTTCGATTCTAGTGAAGAATGTAGTATGCTCGTGTTGCTGGCAGCATTTCGTTGTACAACAGTTGCTATGAAGTCGAGTTTTCTCACTACATGATTGCATTGTTTGAGCAGCCATGGTTGTGTGCCCCCTCTGTTTCTGAATTCTGATCAATTTTGTGACAGCATTTGTGGTTGCTCACTGTGGACTTGTTGCGTTGACAGGAAGCGAGGTAGGTTTTCTTTGCCAGATCCCGGGCATTTCAAACGAGACGATTCATGGCAGTTGTTCTGAGATTCGGTGTCAGAACAAGATGACTTCTGCATCGGTTTGCAGCATGTTTCTCCCTCGTTTACTCGTTCCTTGCAGTAGCAGCATGCTGTTCAAGATCACCGGCAAGATTGGCCACACGGTATGCTTCTTCTATTCTCTGAATTGAATGTCGTTAGACATGAGAGCGAGCGATGACCCCTGATTCTTTTGCAAGTGCAGAGCCTGAGATATATATATGGCCATTGAGATCATCGCAAACATCCTTGGTGTGCCTTGCTCCCTCGTTGGATGCAATGCAGACATGCATATATCGGTCAGAGGAGAGGAAGAAGATAATCAATCGCCCCGAATGTTATGTTTTCAATCAGGTGTCGTAGCGCATCCTGCCTGCTAAGTAAGCCAATCTCCAATGTCATAAATCTGTATCGTCGCTTATTAAATTTACTTGGGGTTCAGCTACCGAATAACAGTTGTAGTGATGTAGAAGATACCAGGAGGAATCATACCTTACTACTAAACATCAAGATTGATCCATCTTGATCTTGCTCGCCCACTGGGGGTGTTGTGTAACTTCCTATATCCTACATTGGAAGTGTGATAAAAATATAGGGGCATTGGCTCCTATAAATTAACCTATTTGGGTCATATTTTAAAGCATAACAATAGATCTTTTTTCTTTAATAACCAGAGAGAGTGAAATTGAGATTTGGTGAGTTGTTGTGACGAGGGTCTTACAATTTTGTCCGTGCAAAAGTTGTAATATATATTTTAGTAGATTATCATGTTTTGGAATTGTGGATGTAGGTCTGTTGTGCGAGCGAACCATGTTAAATTTTCGTGTCTTGCTATTTGTTTTTCTCTCTCTTCTCTTGTGTGTTTCCAACAAGTGGTATCAGAGCGATGTCAGTTTTTAGCGAGGTATTGGCAAAGGGAGGAGAGAAGGAGCAAGAGGTGTTTCGAGAGAAGTTGACGTGGCACGCCAACAGTCTAGGTTGCAATTCCGCAGCGGGTTTCAGAAACACACTATATTTATGTAAGAAAGGTCGGCTCTGCCTGATTTGAGTTCCTAGTTTTATTTTTGAGCTTCAGTTTATTTGGTTATTGGAAATACTTGTTTATTGGAGAGTTATTAAAAACTATGTCCACTATTTTGAAATATGAAGTTCAGCTCTTTAATGAAAATAGTGATTTTACTATGTGGCAAAGCACAATTAAAGACTAATTAATGCAACAATGTCTTGATGTTGCCTTAGAAGATGTAAAGCCAGAAGGTATGAAAAAAGGTGATTGGAGTATGATTCGAAAAAAAGGTTGTTAGCACGATTCGATTGGCACTCACCCCGCATATAAAGGTTACCGTGTTGACGAAAACATTGCCGAAGAGGTTGTGGGATACTTTGGAGAGTAAATTTGCCACGAAGACATTGACTAACCACCTGATTATGAAGATAGATCTATATTCTTTGACGATGGAGGAAGGAGGTAATATAATTGACCGTACTAACAAGTTTAATGAACTACTATGTCGACTGTTGAATGCAAGAGAGGAAATTAAAGAGGAAGAGCAAACGTTGCTCTTGTTAGCTTTATTGGCCAAATCCTACAAGCCGTTGGTGCAATCAATGTTAGTTGGAAAATCTACATTGAAATTGAACGAGACGATAACAGTTTTAAAGGAGAATGACAAGATAATGGGAAATGAAGGCGCTTTAAAGGAGAGTCCACTACTAGTTGTGGGGAGTTCTGAAAGAGGGAGGAAAATGAAGAGTGACCGTGTTGGAAGATCGAAGTCTCGGCCGAGAGATTACAGCTCTGTTGATTGTCATTATTGTGGAGAGCTTGGTCACATTCAAAATCACTGTCGACTTTTTAAGAACACTTGAGAAGTAGAGAAATTTGAAGGGTAAGTCGAAAGTTGAGAACTCCGCGAATGTGGTCAGTTATGAAGGTGATTTATTTCTTTTAAATACAAATCATGTTGAGAATTCTAATTGGGTGATGGATTCTGCTGCCGCCGATGTCCATATATGTAAAGATCAAGCTTTATTTGATACTTTGCATACAAATGAAGATTTTGGCTATATCAATGTGGAGAATAAGATGAAACAACGAACTGAAGGTATTGGAAGAGTTCGCTTGAAGCTCCACAATGGTAATGTCAAAACAATTTTTAATGTGAGTTATGTGTCTATTGTTGGAGCTAATGTTATTTCAATGGGCGAGTTGGCTTCACATGGACATAGATATGTTAATACTAAAAATCTATTGTGTACAAGGGTGACAACTTGATTTTGCAAGGGAGGAAGAAACAAAACAACATCTATCAAAAATTTTTTTTTCCAAAATATAAATATAAATATATTATTTGGATGGGACTGATATATTATATTTTATGTATAAAAATATAAATTTAAATAAATATTTTAAGATTTTGTAAAAGTATGTTCATTTTATTATTTTTAGTTTGTTTACTAAAAGTGTAAACTATATTTAGTAAAAGAAAATATAGTTCTTTAAAATTTTACCTATATATATATTATATATATATATATATTTACATATTTTCAACCATATTTCTTACATCCATTATTTTAATTTAAAAATTATATTATTAATTTTATAAAAATTTCAATTATATCATTATGAAAAAGAATATTCCCTCCGTCCCAAAATTATAATCCTATTTGTATTGGACACGAGATTTAAAGAATAATGATATTATATTGATAATTGATACAAAAATATAAGTAAAAATTTTTTTTACCTTTGTGAGTGTATTAGTATAAAAAATAGTTGTATCACGATGAGTTCTCAGCTCGTAAATCTACACCGGGAGTTCTATTAATAGTATTAGGTATTTAGCAAATCATTCTCTTTGACACACACCACTCACGCACTCGACGGATATTTGCCCCAACTCAAGCACACAAGTATCCACCCTGTATAAAAGTCGGACCTAGCCCTTAAACAAGGGATGTTTACCACTTACTCTACATGAGCTTGACTATATTATAACTCGAGTTAAGTACTAAGGGCTGCTCTCACATCACCTTTTAGTCAACCTACTAAAGCTGCCATTTCTAATATATCTAACTATATTTGCGTATTCAACTTATATTTTATATTTCAAAGCTCTCACGATGCATTATGTAAAACAATTATATTATATAAACATCAAGCATGAGTGATCACAATAAAAATAATGATATTTTATTAATTTCTAAGAAAGTGAATTCAAAACTCTATCAACAAAGTAGTAAATTTGTCTAAGTGCATAATGCAGAGCAATGGATAACGAGGCATATGACTCATATCACAAATGGTCCCAACCAACTAGACAAACTATTTAGAACCCTTACATCTTGAGCTCCTAGAGAGAAGAAAATTACAAAATAAAAAAAATATGAAATTGTTAATGGTAGAATAGTACAAATGAAAAATAGATGCCAATAAAGTTTTTAAAAGGTTAACAATTAACCAACTCGTAGGTAAATCGTAGTTATCCATTCTAGAACATGCAAATAATTAAAGGTTGATCTTCCTCCCATACCAAATTGAATTCTTGTGGCCATGAAGGGTGAGTCAAGCTAGAGTTTTAGTTGATTTCTTCATATTAGTAGCTTTCTCTAATTGATTATGAAAATTATGAACACTAAGACTACGAACAAACTTTGTGACTCACAAACATAAAATTTTGCACTCCTTATTTCTTTGCAAATGCGGTGGATTCATGTACTTTGCGACTGAAAAATTCTTAAAAATACCAAGGAATATTAAATCATAGAAAAAGAGTAAACACATCATTTCTAGGAATTTTGGCACAATTTAGCACAAATTCATTCTAGAATCGCGACATACTATCCGAAAAATTTATAGGAAAATATGCTCAAATTCTTTGTTATCGCTACTATTTTGCATGAAGCAAAATTTACATTACCCTTTAACCTAGATTCGATCAATATCGGAATAAAACATGACTCTTCTTCACCTCTTATAACTCATTCAACAAGTGTTTAAGCTCACATATGTGGTTGTTTGCACTCGTATCTAGATACCAAGTTAAATCAATATCATTATTTGTACTATTTTGTACCATTAAGATAAGTTTCTCATATTTCCTATATTCTATTATAAGATTTATATTTTATTTCACTTTTTTCTTACTCCAACAACCCTTCATATACTGCCCATTACTTTCAAAATTATGATATTTGTTCGGATTGCTTTTCATTTCAAAAAGGCTATTCTTTCTGCATTTGCAGCATTCAACAAACTTGTATTCTCTATCATCCCTAGGATTTTTCCAATTTTGTTGATTGGGTTGTCCTTTTTCTTCTTAGAATCTATCTCATCCAAACCTCTTGCACGATGACCACCATGACCATATATTTGTCCATGAGATTAACCAGTTTAAAATACTTTAACTTCTTTGATTAATGCCTTAGATTTGAGCAGGGGCTGAGCCAAAAATATCAGAATGAAGGGTTCAATTCAGTTTGCTAAGACATATTATCTTCGTCTACCTTTAGTTGCTCTATAAATATAGTATTTTAGGATAGGAGATTTGGGGAAACCACCATTAAAAATGAAGTTCAAGGTAAAACATATAAAATATTTGTGGGAAGGGGTGGCGGCACAGACCCTCATGGTCTTTTTTTTATAGAATTTTCCTGGTATTTGAGAGCTTTTCTACGCGTGAGTGACGACAGAAGTGCGCTAAAAGAACTCATCTTTACCTGTGGGGCCAGTCTATGATCCTGACATGCTCGGCTTTGTGTGGGTTGCGAGCCGGGGTGTCACAGTTGGTATTAGAGGTTGAATATAGGTTAAATGGATTAAATAACCTACTCATTCAACAATGTGCACATTCATTTTAGAGAGCCCTACTGAAAGAATTCTAAGTTAAGCGTGCTTGCCCTAGAGTAATTTGAGGATGTGTGATCGTCTGAGAAGTTTTCCAAGGTGCGTGAGTGAGGACAAAAGCGCGCTGGAAAGACTCGTGTTGACCTGTGGGGCCAGTCTACAATTCTGACACCCCCGGCTTTGCGTGTCTTAAAGGTCGGAGTGTCATAGGTTTTTACATTTTTCATGTTGTCCAAATCGTTGTGGAGTGCTAAAAAGCGGGCTTGTTTTAATTTTTCATCCTCTTTAAAATTACTTTTTGATTTTCCCCACACATCTTTGGAGGTATTTTATCAACTATCGTCTTGAAATCATATTCATCGAGTGCTTGAAAATATGAGATAGAGTGTTGTCATGTGTTGGAAAAAAATAATAGTAATATTTTTATATGATATATTAAATTAAATGCAATAAGTAAAACAATAAAGTAATCAACAACTAGGTAAAGTGATATAGACTGAAAATGAAATTGAGTCAATGATACCCTCTGCCCGCATGATAAATTACATTCCAGTAGTGCCTCTGGTGATGACGTTGTCCCCAAAGGTAAAAATTTTTTTTTCTTCGATTTAAGTGGCACCTCAATAAGTCAGAGTTCCGACGATCAAAACTGAGGAAGGAACCGAGGTTTGCCCGAAGGCTAGGAAGGCTTTTCGGAAACTTGACTGGGGAAAAGATGAGAGACATGAGAGATCTCAAATATTCGATTGGTATATTTGAGAATGAAGGGCGGCCTTTACATAAGCATCTCCACTCTGATCAAAATGATAGAGAACTAATCAACGACCATAATTACGACCTCAATAATCGACGTAATTAAAAGTCGTATATTACGCTGATTTCAAACCCTCAATTTGATAATTTCAAAGTTCCATTTGAAGTTATAATGAATATATCCACCATACATGATTTTATTTGGACAATTCTGCAGCTTAGGCCATACATTTGGGTTTAACTTTGGGCTTCATTATTTGGCCCATCTCGAGACATAAAAAATTAGTCAAACATTAACCAAACTCTATAGTCAATATATATATTTTTAATTTAAATCAATCCAATTAATTTAGTTCATCAAATTTTTGTATTTTCATTCACTGATTAATCGGTTCTATAAATTTTGAATTTAATTGATTAAATAATTAATCGATTATTCAACAATCCCCCATATGAGTGTAAGTGTCCACAATAGGATACCTACAGATCTTAGTTCCAAATATAAACTGATACATTAGGACATTACAAAGTGTACGGATGACCCAATTGACATGATGCATTGAACTGTT